CCCCAAAACCCCAAAACCCCAAAACCCCAAAACCCCAAAACCCCGAGAATTATTAGCTTAATTGAACAAGTTAATCATTATTGCCTCCATATTCGTAATTGAATAGAGAAACCAACATGTTAGCATACTCAGCACATCCATTCTCCATTAACTCTTTGCTCTTCTTCTTGAGTGTATCAATATGCCTTTTGGCTTCAGCTTCGTTCTTGGCCTTCTTCTTTGCAATCTCTTCTGCGAAATCAGCGTATTCCTTGGCAATGATATTCTTTTCTTCAACGATCTGGTCAGCTATTTGTCTATATTTTTCGAATTTCTCATCAATTTCCTTTTGGATACCTGTTCTCTGAGTCAATAGCATTTTCCATCCCCGAACATTGTTCATAGTTTCGTACTTGTGAGACTTGAGGTACCGCTCAACTAAAGGAGAATATTTCATATGGACTAAATCGCGCTTGGTTCGACCTGCATTCTTGACCTTCTTAACATCAGCCAGTGTGAGTGGCTTGTCAGATTTAGTCGTCTCTTTTGGACCTCCAGCAAGCACATTGGCAGAGCCACTTTCGCACTTCCAGTGATCATAAGAAGCGGATTTTATTTGGGTACCTGTGAAGAGCTCACTGAAGATGTCCAACAAATTTCTTCTGACATCCTCCTTTAGCTTACTCCTTGATTTTGGATATGCCAAAAATAGACTAGAAAATACGCTCTGGGCAATGTGGTTATAGAAATTTTTGAAGAAAGAGTCTTTCTCGCTTAACTTCTTATAATGCCTATTTTTACTCTCGCTACCCTTCTTTGAAGTATCATCAGCATCTCCCATGAATTCATCATGAAGAGTGAAGGAAACATAATTGGCAGCTATTCTATCAAGGAAAAACTCTTCATGATGGATGTATTGATCTGGCTTGAACACTCGGCATATAACGTACCAGAAGGAATCAGAGATTATGGCGTCAACGTGCTCGATTTCAAATAATTGTTTGAATCGTTCCTTCTTCTTCTCGCTTTTGATTTTTAGGGAATTGTATACATATTCTTTTACTTTATCCATCTTCACATTTTGAGGAAGTTTACTGTAGGGAGAATCAAAGTCATGAGGTGGCACAGTCGATTCAATACTGTAGTCAGCAAGTACACTAAAGTTGAACTTGCCTTCTTCTTCGGAGTCTTCTGTCTGACTGTTATCTATAAGAATTATTGTAACTATCATTTAGCCAGAGAAAACTTGAAAATAAATAAAAATAACTATACCTTCATCATTAACTCTCTGCTGATCACCCATGTCGACCTCTCCCATGAAAAGCTTGTCATCCACATTGGTAGTGGTCAATGGCATTTCAGTCTCCATAATAAAAATTTATTTGAATTAGCAATTTTATAATTTTAATTAGGGGTTTTGGGGTTTTGGGGTTTTGGGGTTTTGGGG